ACCTTTCTTCTTGGATTCTTCCTATAACCTGATGGCCAGCTGTGATCTATTTGTGGCGCAAGAAGATTGGGACATCTCCAGGAAAAAAGCTTTTTGTCAAATTTAGACTGACATTTGAAACCAGGCTTTTAAACTGTGCTTTGAAAGCAGCCTGGCTTAGTATTATTTAGGGCATTCTTGCAGGGAGTTGCAGTTTCAGCCATTACGTCCCCAATCAAGCAAAACCAACAAGAAAGACCTTCAACGGGCTGCAAAATAAAACCTCAAGATTTATTTCACATCAATTTCAGTGGAAATCTATCAACACAAATGCTCCCTAGCAACCATTTCTGGTATACTATATTCATAAAAATCTAGGTATTGCATTTGCTATGATCGCCATTTTGCTTTTCTTCTTTCAACTGACCGTGCCTAGGGCCACATATAAATAAAACCCGGTTATCTGCAAAGTAGTAGAATCGATTCCAATTTTTTATTTTTATTTATATCTAGTTGGGAATAGGTTTCACTCCACGACTAACCCTCTTAAGTCACCACTCTGTCCATACCACAACATCAACAATGCAGTTCAGGCAAATGCCCTTAAAACAAATTATAAGGAATCCGATAACAACAAAAAACCAAAAAAGGCTCAGATCAGCCTGTACGCAGTAGCATGCGTGCAGCATCTACTGTTAACTCAGAACTAGCTGTGTGTAAGGAGTTGGCCAAAGCGAAGTATGCCAAAAAGATATGGCTACAATTTCAAGGAAGGAACTTTGCACAATCTGTAGCATAAAGCTGACACTCAAACATGACTGGAATTTGATTGTGGGGAGAAGTCGCAACCTGCAAAATGAGATCGAAGATCTGCCTTTCGAAGTGGAGAACTCGACAAGGGATTCAAGATATGTTTTTCACGTCTGTCGGGACCTTCTGCTCAGAAGAGAAAACTTCAAGGATAAGATTTTGGATGTGGAAACAAAATTACGCTCCAAGCTTTCTGCCTCACCAGATATTGACATGACGGTGCCTCCAACAATGAGTTTTGCCCCTGCCCTTACCAGTACACCAACAGGACACTGCCCACCCCCACCAAATAAGAGATTAGCATTGGGCAGTGATTGTCTTGCCCGAAATATTATCAAGTCATGCTCTGATGAAGGTCAAGGAGGCCCTCAAAGGAAAATGTCAAAATCGGTCAAAGCAATAAATTTTGGAGGAAGTGGCCAGACACAAGTTACTGTCAGAGTGAATTGGATAAGCGAAGTGAAAAAAAGAAAGCTGCCCCATGACTTGGCATCATTAGGAAAAATGCTGTCTCATGGAATTTACAAACAGATAGCCAATGCCGCTTGGAGGCATGACAGAATTCGCGGAGCCTTGACTGGATTCATGCTTAAGGAAATCACTAAGAATGCAGGGCTCTATGTTGAAAAGGGTCTGAGGGAAAAAACAAAAAAGCAACTAAAAAAATTTTCAGATGCACAAGCAAGGAGGATGTTGTCAGTTTCCAGTTTGAGAAAATGAAGGAATTGATGGTAAACAAGGCACCACTTTTTTGGCACATTTTGCAAGCTGCTGCTCTAAGGCATAGGAAGAACCCATCAGAAAGCTCCTACCTGACTTCATGTGTTTGTATGGCAGCTTCTGTTTGCCTCAAAAACAGATCACCAAAAATGACAATATTGCAGTTGCTCATAAGCATAATTATGCAACACTCTGGAAATATGGTAATTGTTGTGTTTAGAAAACTGAAAGACTTTAAACTTCTAGACCTTTAAAGTTTTATATTTAGAATGATTCTTCAGCCCATCTCATTTTAGTGGTATGCCCTGGGTGCAGCACCAAAACAGTGATGAAAAATACATTTAAGATTATAGGGAAAACTGCCTAAAAATTCTCTAATGAAATGAAACAATGTAAAAGGCCTCTTAATTTCTCTTGAAACAACAGTAAAAGATGCTTTTTATGAGACAGTAATAGCCTCTAGATTGGAAGCTTATGTGCTAGCAGTTTTCTTGTATTTGCCTTGAAGAGCAGACTCAGAAATTAAAGGCTTTGCGCCTAGTTGTTTCACACCATTTTCTTTACAAGAAACTGGAAGAATTTGGCAAAAATCACGAGTCGTTCCTTAAGGATCAAGCATCCAAAACATCTTTGGACAGAAAAGTGGTGGTAGACAATTTTTTATTTCATAACAAAGGACCATTCCATGACAGAGGGTCACCAGAATCATAATGAACATCGGGTGTCAGTGGCAGCAGTTGAAAACAGGATTCATGCTGATAGTCTGTCCACTGAGTGCCCAATGAAAACTGGGACTATCAACATGGAAAATCTAATGGCGCTTCCAAATATCGCTAATCACAAAAAGCAACGTAAGAATTATATTGATTTGTGTGGCAAGATTGCTTGTGCCAGTATCAAATGTCTTGAAAAGTTTAAGGATGTTGCTGTTCATCATATAAAGCATGCATATTCTGCTCAGGCAAGAAGGGGAACAGACACTGTAAGTGATAAAATCCATTACATATATACTAAATAGGAATATGGCAAACAGTTGTTATAAGTTGAGCTCTACCATACAGATCTTGAAAAAATCAACATGATTTTCCTGTGAAAGACTTAATATAAAATATCAAGAATATTTCTAGTGAAATTCTTGTGATTTATTTTTGCAATCGGTCAAAACCAGTGTGTGAAGAATTCTTGTCATGTTTGCGTGCCAGGCATAAACTGTGTGTCATACATACAGTAATGATTGTCAATGATTAAAAATACATTCCATTTAGTTAAAACAGTAAATGATTGACCTTGTTTGATATTGAATATGGCATCTAAAGAATGATGTCAGACGGACCATCTTCATCGAGCATATTTTCAAGGGCTTTCCATTTTGATGTCTTTGATGTATATCACCTTTCGTTATTGCAACATAAGTTTGTCAATCTTTAATTTGGCTTTGTCCCTTTTACTTTATAAGCTATCAAAGAAAGAAGTTATCTGTCAACTTATTGTTGTTAGCCCCAATGCAGGTACTGTATCCATCATAACTTCTTTTTTTTATGTTTTGAACACTGTCTGAAGTATCTCTTAAGATTTCTTTTCCCCTTCTAGAAATTTGTTGGAATGATTTATACAAACTCAAATGAATCAGCAGAGATGGAGGAAATAATGAAGGAAATTCACTCAAAGTATGTCCCTTGCAATGATGGGAAATGCAGTTCGCTTGCAACTGTTGGTGATCAAGGAACTGTTGAAAGAGGAGTGAATGTTTTGCTACAGTTGAGTAATGGCTTTGACGAAGTTGAATGGCTTGATGGCTTACAGTTGGAAGTTGGAGATTTTCATGCAGGAATGAAGTTTTTGCAAGTATGTATTAACCAATGTAATTATGTCAGGAGACATTTTAGCAAATTACAGCAATTATTCACTCATTTCTACACAATGAACATGGTGCTCTTCTATATACTTAGCCAAGCTCAGTTGAAAGCAGTTGAGCTTAAGGGAGAACTTTCAAAGAAAGGAACTTCCATCCTGAGTATCAATATCCCTTATTACTTCCCTTGTAGCCCTTAGTTCAAGTAGCCCTTCCAGTCGATCAATTTTGTTTTACTAACTAATAACTCACAGTGTTCTTTGTATGTTACAATTCGAATCATGTGCTCTTAGAATCATGTGATCAACAACTCTTTGTTTTAATTTTTCTAGAATATGAAAAACAACCAGAGTGATACAGAAATAATACCTAGAGTATTCTATGTATATATACCATATGGAGAGGGAGAAACAGAAACTTACAACTAGATTCTCCCGCACTTTACGAAATACTGCAGATTACATCACATTGCTAAACGTATGTTCACGTTTATTTTCAGTTTGGATATGACCAATTCTATAATGCAAAATCAGTGATGGACAAGTGCACAATCTTTAGTGATAGAACTCTTGTAAACCGCCGAAATGTTGTCACTGATGTGTCAAAGCGCTTTGATGCAAATAAGAAGTTTCTTTTGCTTGAAGTCCATGCAAGGATTGTTGCTGCATTTTTAGTGATTCTTGGCATAAAGGATATAGAAGAGCAACCATCAGAGGGGATCTTACCAAAGTATATTTGTAGCAAATCCAAAAAGAGAGAATATTTCCATGGATTATGCAGCAGGGTTGCAGATGAATATGTATTGAATGCCGATAAAAATGGAGATCTCTTGAAAAAACAAGCATACTCAGATTGGCTCAAATCAGTGAATCCCAAAACACAAGATGGCCGCTTTGCTTGTAGAGAAGTGGGTTGTAGCAAGGCTTTTACTTTTGACGGCAAGGCAAGATTAAATAATGAAAAATCACATCGCCTACATAAAGGAAAAGATGAAATTGAAAAAAAGAACAGTGATATTGATGCTATGTTTAACTACCAAAGATCACTTTTCGATTTTGGTGCTATTGTTCTAAACTTCTACGATGCCATTTCAGAGGGAGATGGTGCACGACTTGTAAGGTGCTGGAAATTTATGCTCCCATATTTGAAAGCTGATGGTCCGAAGAGTCGAAAGTATGCTCTTGAAGCACTTTACCTCATCATTCAAGTTGAGGCTTTTCTTTCCCAGAAGGATGCTCATAGATTGATCTGGAATAGATTCCACAAATCCATAGAGAGTTGTGGTAGCAATATACCCATGGATTTGATGATAGAGCACAACAAGAATTTCATGAAGAATGCAATAAGGTCCTTGGGACCAAACAGCACAAATAAAAAAGCAGTTGATCGGATTGCAAAAGCTGTGACAGTAACAAAAAAATTAGTGGACAACTTGACCGTAGGTGTGATATCTATAAAGGGTCAGGTAAGCACACTGAAACATCAGCAAAGAAGGACTTAAAGAACATTGTTCAAAACCTTATGACAAGTGGTAGAGCTACAAGGTATTTGATGGAATGCAAGAATCTCTTCTAGAAGACTTTGATTTGCATGGTATGTATGCTTGGATAATGAATGCAGCACAAAAAGAAGATCATGATGAACAGGGCAAGAAGATGACTTTGAATGCATCACAAAGCATAATTGTGTAGCTTCAGAAATATAACTTTCTTAAAATACAACCAAAATACAGTGGCGTAGCTAGCCAAATAGCAGTGGTCATGCCCTCCCTCAAATTTGAAAAAATATGGGTGTGGTCATATTCTGCCACGCCCAATTTTTTCAGTTGATGAGTTCCTTTGGGAAATTTTAATTTTAAGGCTTGCAACTTATAAAATTTTTTTTGATGAACCTTTGGAAGGAGCTTTTCTTATTATCTTGTTACACCATAAAATGACCTTTGTGTCTTATAGCTGTGACACTGTTTTGGTTTGTTGGTAATTTATACAGACAGAGTTCTGACAATTTCAAAACAGAACTGTACAAAAGACATTAGAAAACATTAGTTTAGTATAGTAGATAAATTAAGCTTAAACAAATTGTGTTATTCTCCTAATTTCTTTCAATTTGCAGGCTGAAATACATTTGTAAAGTTTAGAGATAAGCTAAAATTTGTAAATAAAACAATAAATCACATGAAACTGAATGGGAGCTTTTTGGTCATATTTTTCACAAATAGTCTTATTATCAATCTATTGAAGGTAATTTAAAGCCATCACGAGTAACTACCAACCCGAATAGAACTGATAGATGAATAAAACAAATGGGCAAAGGAATATGCAATGTAAATATTGATATGAAATATAGGAAGCTAAAATAATGGATAGGCCTAGTTGCAAAATGTTTCCTGCAAAGTTAAGACTTAATAGAAAAATACCTTGCAAAATAAGTTTAGCTTGATAAAAACATTTATGTTTCCACATATACTTGTGGTAAACATCCACATGATTGGATTTCCTTACTAAATCTAGCAAACAAGGGTTTTAAATGAAATAATTTGATCTTGTAAATTTTCAAATACATGAAAAGTTATAAAGAAATAAAACTGTTTAACTAACAAGATCAGTAACATGCTTGACTTGTCGCTGGTCATCTTATTTAAACATCTATAACTAGTAAATAGGTACTTTCAATTACAAGTGAAGTCAGTAGAGCTTTGAGTTTGACTTTAATTGTGTGTAAAAACAGTGTTATTGCATGTGATAATAAATAAAAAATTGAAGAATAACTTCAAGCAAGTTTTGGCATTCCTATCCATTAACTACAACCTTATTGTCCTAATCATAATATGGTAACAATGCTCTTAAAGGGCTTAACAGTTTCTGAATATGCTGCTAAATGTCTGGAAAGTTTAAGCTCTCAAATCTGTTGGTTTGGAAAATAACACTGCTATCTCCTCCATCCATCTCCAGTGAAACAGCACCAAGATTTGGCATTCATTTAATCAAGAAGATTTTCTCCAAATGTTCAACTAGTAACAATTGATTACTGAAAAGGCTGAGAGTTTGGTTTGGTTGCATAAAATGATCCTGCTCGCTGATTTTATGCCCAAAAATGGCCTTTCGTGCCTGTCACTTCTCCACATAGTGCAACAACATTAGGGCTGAAAACCCTGTCATTGCCATAAAATGTTCTGGAGATTAACATGATAGTGGCTGCTTGGCAATAAGCTATTCCTTGCATTTTACTTACAGAGAATCACCTCCCAGCTCGTGGATCTAGGCATAGCAGCGCCGCAATCGATGCCTCGCATTCGCGTTCATGAAATAACACAGGACGGTTCTGATCATTATAATGATGGTCATGCCCTCTCGAAATGGCATGACTAGCCTTTGTTCTCTCCTGCGTCACTCCTATCGTTAGGCATGACCAAACATAGGGAGCCAGCGTTATGGGCATGACTAAAACACAGGGTTTGGTCAGGCTCATAGTCATGGGCATGACTAAATTGGAAACCCTCTGTTTTAGTCATGCCCGACAATAGAAGAGCGCCTTCGGATGGCTCCATATTGTTGCGTGGAACCATAGGGCGCCAAAGGCGAATGGCCTGAGCTATTTCATCAGGAGGATACGACTTTATTCTTACGAAAATATAATTTTTTGAAAAATGTTATCTCTGGAAATAGATGGTCATGCCCGGCATGACAAGCATGACCGCTAGCTACGCCACTGCCAAAATATAAAAGGAAGTATGATAGAGATCAGATTGTAAAAATGGGGACCAATTTTGTTTCTTTGCTTAATAACAAAATAATTTTGTGTTTGTGTTTGGGGGGGGGGTGTTGTCAGTTATTAGTTTTAAAGAGTTGTTTCATTTTGACAGTCAAAAATTGCTTTGTGGTGTTGCTGGTCCACCCAAAGCATTTTAATTGACAATCTTTACTTTGCATATTACAGATGTTACCGTCAAGTGCAAAATACTTTGTTTATAATACAGACGTTAACTGAACAATTATAGTTTCCCTTCAAAATTTTGAAAATTTTAACAATTCAGATATTTCTGTTAGGCCAAAGTCTGTCAGGCAAAAATTGGCTTTTTTCCCCAAGGACTAAGAATTGAGTATACAGTGCTGAAAGCAATACACTGCAATGTAAATCTGCATTTTCATGCTCAAGTGCAGAGATGCAAGAAATTAGGTATACTGTGATGTGATTATGGCTTCAATTAGTCTCAAAAGGTTTTGTGATTATTGACTTTGACATAGATACCATCACTCTTTTTGTTGGTTTCACCACTCTTAGAGCAGACATGTTAATTGTCAAATTTCATTAACCTCCAAACCAGAGCTTTGGCATTTTGGCATTTTTACTGTTGAGTAACATTTTGCAAAACAATTAGCCATCAGTTAACTACATTCACATCCTAGGAGTTTGCTAAACCTGTATACTTTTTTCTGGGACACCCAGTACCATATATTACCTCTATTAATAAGTAATGAAGCATTGACACAGATATAAATGCTTCTCTCTAATAAACACCTCCCTCCAATAAAAGCTGCATCCAAAATTTTTGGAATTTTATAAACATTGTCATGTTAAAACAGGGAAATACGGTATATATAGTTACTTTTCAATTATTCTTTTAATCCTAAAGTTCATGCAAAAGAGTTGTCATCTACAACAGAATCATAAAGCAACTGTGGTTTAATTCCAGAAATACTCATTTAATTGTCTAAGCTTTTGCAGAGATTGTCCAATGAGTCATGAAACACACTTGCATCTTCTTCTATTTCTGATAAATTGATTGAATCTGAAATGTTGATTTCTGAGTCAACCTGAATTTCCAACCAGTCTCCATCCAACACAAGACTTCTTTCTTCTCTGTTATCTGTATCATCAAGTAGTGATGCTTTTATAGCACTTCCTGAAAGTGGTTCATTTATGTCTTCAAACACCTTTTTACCACTTTCAATATCTTTAAACAATCCTCCTTCCAGGGGCGGATCCAGACATTCGCAACATTCGCACTGGCGAATGTCAGATTTCCACATGTCTTTTTGTAATTGTCTGTTAATACATTTTAGCATTGTGAATATTGTACTAGAAATGGCCAGATAATAAAAAAAAGGTCCACAGAATACAAGAAATAAAAGTTTTGTTTCCTGCCCTAGTTGCTATGATGTCACCTTGTTGTTTACTTTTTAGGTTTTATTCCCTCGTTTTCGTGATTTAGAGATGATATATTCGAAAGAGGGCTCCCCCTTTTACGCATAAATTCACAGAGCACCAATAAGGTTTGATGCGAATGTCGAATGGAATTATAATATATTAGGCATGCGTGCGCAAATGAAGTAGTACTGAAAAATGTATGCCAAAAATTTGTGCGAATGTCAGTCAAGCTATGTTATTTAGCCATCTGAAAACCAATAGGAAATGTATATGGGAAATTTTTTTGCGAATGTGGCGAAGGTAGATGCGAACTATGTTCGGTAGCCAGTCGAGGGAGAGAACCTTGGAAAGTGAGCAGATTGAAACCTCGTTTCCACATCAACGGCCATGAGTGTTGTTGGAAAGCTGTGAAGATATTTGCTTGCAGAAGAGCAGCAATTGTACTTCAGAGTGAGTGAAAGGAGTCAAATATAAGATGATTTTTAATTTGAATCAGCGGATTTCTTATGAAGATGTTCAAAGTTTGTCGAAGATTTTGGTTGATGGATGGAATTTGATAGATGGCAATATGCGAGGACAGTTCAGTTGGACCTAAAATTGTTGAACCAAAATTTTGCCTATGTTTTCATTTTCATGATGGAGGACGTTATTTAGACAGAGATTCAGACTCAAATAATATTTTGAAGAATACGTGATGCTTTTTAAGGTAAATAGCCATTTTTATGCAGGCTGTCAATCAGAACTTTTAGGGTTCAAGTCAGGTATATCTTGATAATGATGATGTAGCATTCTGACGAATGATGCTGTTCTATAAATATCTTGATGAATTTGAATATGCTGAATTTTAGAGTTCTAGATATTTTTTTTGATAGATGTTGTTATTATCACAAACCTGTAAATAGTTTGACTGTGCTGGGGATTTGTTTTTGAATAAGATATTGCATTTTCTACGGCGTATTCTTTTCTTGTTAATTTTATGCTGTCAGTTTTGGAAAAATCTAGACTGCCATATTTGTAAATGAGAAATTGTAATAGTATTTTGATTTTATTTGTCTGGTCATGCCATAAATATGGTAACCCTTTTCACGAGTTTAACCTCTAAAACTAGTAAAATTATTTGTGGTTTCCACACTATAAGAGTATACCATTTGAAACTTTTGGTTCTGAAATACCCTTAAGATTCATTAATTTTTGTTTATGAATTTGCAAGTGACTGACAGTTTTCTTTTCTATGTTATTGTGTGTGTAAATAAATGTAAATGTGGGTAGTAAATAAGTGCAATCAATGGAATGATCCTAATGGGGGAATTACTACATTATTAATAAGAAATTCACAGCAAGTTGGTCCTGCCAAGTAAATATCTTATATAAATCCATATAGTAAAAGTTACCATGTTTGCCTTATTTCTTTGCCATTACTGACTTTGTTTGATGTACATTTTAAATTTGTATATAATATATATTTATGATGTTCTTGTTATGGAAAGACAATGAATTTTTTTAAATTCTGTTACATTTGCTGTTTTACCAACACCTGAAAATACTAAAATTGTATGATGTGTATTGACCTAACTGGTATTTTTGGCCATGTTTAAGGCACATCACACAGCAGTTTAGATAGAAAGGTGAATGCACAAAATAAATAACAGAAAAGCTCTGAGCCCCTAAGGTATTTGGTGTTGAAGTCAAACATTTGGGTGGATATTGCATTGAAAATTTCTACACTAAACACAGTATTTGATTGTTAAATAATATCATTGTATAAATAGAACTAAGATTCCTTTCTTTAAATGACATAAAATGTTTTTCATGAGTTTTTCTCCCTGAGAAGGGGTGATACACACATTTAATATACCCTTATTTTAGCTCATCCTCTTTGTTCTTGACAATTTGTGGTTCTGTGCCTAGACTTGCCATTAAATCATTATTAAGAGGACATTTCAAATCTTTGCTGCTGTTTTTCCATCACAAAAGCCATGTAGGAAACAAAACATGCCAACACAACAAAAACTTGATGAGTGTTTCTCAAAATTTTTCCAGAGATCTCTTTTCTTGTTCACTCAATAAGTAAAATACCAAATTGTCAATGAAATCCAGACCTGGCTGTTATTCTTAATATTTATCCTTTAATTTCTCAACCTTTGAGCCTCAACATTTTCTGTTTCCTAATCCTAAAACTTAATATAAGGAAAAATACATCTTTAAGTGGAAAACTTCGATTCTGAGACTATAGTAAAATTTGACTGATTTTTTTGGGCGTGGTCATATAGGCGTGGTCGAAACTTTGCGAATGTCAGATTTTTTTCTGCATCCGCCCCTGCGTCCTTCCTCCATATTTCAATATGCATATTTACATCTTCTACTGTGAACATAAATTCACATGAGGTACGTACCTGTCTGACTTGAAAGTCAGTGAACAGGAATAAAACATTTGGGTATGAAACTATTTTCAGATTGGGAACAATGGCATGCTGCAGTGACTTCTTGTATTCCAACATTTTGCTTTCTACCAAATCTCTCTCTTCATCTGTTACAGAACGCTTCTTAGCCATCTCAGTATTTGCATTGTTATCTTTTGCAGTCAGAAAATCAAATGTATTTCTACTACAATCATCTGATTGACACATACATGCTTTTGCACATATATCAAAACATTTACAGCCAGCATTCTCAGGGCCTCTTTGGAATATATTTCCTGAAGACTTGGGAAAGCTTGACAGAAGTAAAGCACGCCTGCAAACATTTGCAAAAACAAAATCTTTCATATCCTTTTCACTGTTTAATAGTGTAAAACCATTGTACAACAAACATGAATGACTGACAGTCCCATCTCTGCCAGCCCTGCCACATTCCTGCAAATAATTCTCTAAATTTTTTGATGGGCCAAAGTAAATACTTCTGTGCACCCCTTTGCAGTCTATGCCCAAATCAAAGGCAATGGTACACAAGAGAATACGGGTGTGGCCTTTCCCATCTCTCATTTGTTCTAAAATGAATTCCTTTTTTTTGGAGTTCCAGCATGATACATCTCAACCAACCTTCTTCTTGCATTCTCTGTCTTGTCTTTGTACAGCTTCTCTCCCAGCTCCATAACAAACATTTTCCAGATAAAAGCTACCTGATTTCTAGTTTGGCAAAAGATGAGAGCTCAAATTGTTTCAATGCCTTTTTTTATTTCCTGTACAAGGCCAGCAAATATTTCAAAAAGCGGAATAGCATTACCAACATATTTACAATAAACCACAAATTTTCCTTCACTGGACAAATGAATTAGATAAATCAATTACTGAAACATCAGTGATGCTTTGCTTTGTTGCTTTGTTTGCAGTTTGGTTGCAGAAAACTGCCATCTGAACTACTTTTGGTAGCAAAGATCTGACTTCTCCAATCATGTCAAACCATTTTCTGAAGGCAGATTTGGATGCTATGCTTTGGCTCCTAAAAAGAAAAGTGAATTCACAGTATATTGTTTTGCCAACATTGCTTTGTAGGTAAGAGCAGTTCACTAATCGAAAATATTATCATTGTCTTCATGGAAAGTCCAGCTGTCCACACAGAAACTAGCTACTGTAAATGAGAAATTTCAATATTAATGCAATAAATTTCAACACCCAAGGGAGCATTTTAGCAAGAGCCCCTATACGGAAACCATCTATTTAAAACTGCCTTTTATATAAAAGTGGTGTCTATTCCTGGGTTTTTTATCCAAACACATGAAAAGGCATGTAACATTGATACTTGAGGGTTATATTTCCAGAATTAAATTAACTGAAGTGATGAAAAGTGTCAGGATTTTATAAAACTCCACATTAATTGGTTCAAGGCAAGTCATACGTATTTAATGACTGATCGATACTTTCACTTCCTGATTAGCTAGCAGGAGACAAAATGCATGACACATTCAGTTCAAGAAAAATTTACCATTGCCTGATACAGTGTGCTTCGTCAATAACAATGCCAATGCAACAATCGGCAAATCTACTCCCACTGAGGATGCGTCGCCGACGTGAGGACGGCAAAATAGATTCTGGTGAAGTGTAAAAAATGCTGTAAGTTCCATCTTCTATGACAGCAAGGACACTTTCAGCTTGGCCCTTGAAGATCCCAGCAGCAGACAGTTCAGTTTGTGTGTTCACATCATTGATTTGATCGTGCATAAGAGACAGTAATGGACTAATCACTAAAATGTTACTTGTTCCAACTGCGTTGTCAGCTAGAACGTCAGCTATTAGTGGAATCGATTGAAAAATAAGGGACTTCCCGTGGCCAGTCGGTGCGCTGTAGTAAATATGCTTTTTGAACTTGAAAAAGCTGTACAACGCTCTCTCCTGATTATCCTTCAATTCATCCATGTTAGAGAAACAACAAACCATCTTTATTGCTTCGGTGAACTTAGATTCGTTCCAGACATACTCTAGGTTTTTTTTTGGTCACTGCTTTGACTCACCGCCATTGAGAACGTAAAACAACTCCATGCAATTCGGGTTATGCAAGATGAAGTACTCTTACAATATGGTTCTTTGGAACAAGCAATTGCATGCTGATGCGCAGACTCTACTCAGCAGATTTGCGCTCTTTCCTCCTCCCCTCCATCTAACAATAGAGGCTGCACGCAGGCTAGTACGCAGAGGTTCCATATCCACGCATTCTATACCTTTTTGATGAATTTCTATTAAAATGAAGCAATTGTCAAGGAGCAAAAAGAGGACCTTCAAGCAGGTGTAAAAATATTGAAAGAGACGAATACCATCGATTTACATTTAAAAAATAGTTTAATTACAGTCGTTACAAAGTTTACATACAACCATTTACAGTTGACTCCTCTTCCAGTCGCATTTTATCTTCGAGCATTTTATTGCGATGATTTCAAAAACATTTAACGTGATACGGCTTCCCATTGAATGATTTAGCTAGTTATGAGTTTTTGCTTAAAATGACATACCACAAATCCTCGAATTGGCCCACCCCTCTTGAAAAGAGCCCCCACCCTCGAATAAGCCCCCACTCTAGAACTAAAAATTGTCAATATGCCCCCCCCTCGAATAGGCCCCCAATGCAACCGTTAATTCTCGAATTGGACCCCTCAGTTTGATTAATTTTTGCCATTTGAGGTTGCCTTTGGCATTTTATTGAATTACCATAACAAATTCATACATTTGATAATAATTAATTAAATGCTCATGAAGAAATATCTACAAAATAAACGAGGTCTTTTAATAAGGTCCTCTTAATATGTACAACAATTTAAAAAGCCCCCCCCTCTCGTCAACCCCCCCTCGAACTAGCCCTCATTCAAAAATATCAAAAATAAAGAAAGCACCCAGGGGGCTAATTTGAGGATTTATGGTAACTAGCAGCTATGCCTCAAGCAAATGAAAAGACATTAAAAAGCTGATGAATCAAATAAGATTTACGGTTTTAGCTAACTAAATATGTTTAAGAGCATTGGAACCACCACTTATCAATTTCTAGCCATTGTTGGAAAACACTTATCATTTATTTGGATATTTTCACGGTTCCAAACACGAAATCGCAAAAATAAATTGACCATTAAACTTTCCTCCGATAAAACATAATCACAAATTAGAATGACGAGAAATCTTGCAAGCAAAAACATTTTTTGACACTTGCGGATGTCATACCCCAAAACCAAGGTATTCGGTACTTTAAATTGATATATATACATAGTTTAAAGATATTTCGCAATGACTCTTTTTTGTTTTAAAAGGAAAATTTCATCCTGACATCAAGTATAACAGGGACCAAACAATAGATAGTGTTAACTTAATTTCATAGTTTGATCCAGAGCTGACAATGATGTTTAGTTATGATCAATTGAAGAGGTTTTACGCATCTTATTGTTCCTTGTCACATTGGGCAATAAAAATCCTCTTGGGCAAAATCTCCCCAAAATCTTTGTAAATCCTATTTTTCTAAAATGATCTCCGCTGCATGGATAAACTGATACACCCTTTTTGCCACAGTGTCGTTGGTACCCCTGGGAGTCACGTTGACATCTTATATACATTCAGAAATGCAGGGGGGTTGGGGTTCATTTGCAGTTATCAAAATTCACCTTAAGGTATCAAATTAATCAGACCTTTAATTATCAGCTAAAACATTTTGGCAAGACCCAAAAAAAAACAAATACCTTCTCTTGTTTTCGAACACATTAGAGGACGCTGGTCAAGAGCAATTTAGACTGGCTCAACCAAGCTATACAAAAATGTTATCCTTGGTATAGTTTAATATTGAAAAGGGAAACCCTCTTTTAGATTCATTTTTTAGCAATTCAAGTTAGCAGATTTCTCAAAGTTGTCAAATTCAAGTTAGCAGATCTCTCGGAATTGTCAAAGGTGGATTTGTTTCATTTATATCAATAAAAATGGAATGCTTAGACAAAATTCCTATTTCCAAAAGCTGGTCCCTAGACCAATATTGGCAAATATGATACCCTTGGCTACACTTTGGCTTGACCAAAATAGCAAAAAAATACTCCCTTGCCTAAACTAGAAGTCCGAAAAAGTATACGCTTGCTTGCAGCACATCCTCAAGTTCACTTCTTTTCTATCAGTACAATTTTATAAGAACACGAGCCTCAGAATTGGTAAAAAATTAAGAGCAAGCTAAGGCTGAGCTACTGTAAATTGCAATCTTGAACAATCTTGTGAAACGCCCTTTAAGAAATTTTATGCTCACATTCTAATAATTTAAGATTAAATTTGGAATATTTCGAAACAAATCAGAACAACCAGCCTTAATTCAACTTATCTTTACTACCCTCCCCCCTGACTGTGTTACTTTTGACAGCTATAAAAGAGCACACCTTGCCAATTATCCTTAGTCTGCTCTCGAATCCTAACAGAAAAAGGTGGTCAAGTCTCGTCGTGAGAGATGGCAAGCTTCCAAATTACAGATGTAGATATCTTGATGGACGATACTGACATGGTAAAGTCATTCTACATTAGTTACATTATGCAATTATCATCACACAATTCTTGAATACTTGCAAAGCATTGTACTAAAAGATAGATACAATAAAAATATTACACTCTTTTTTCATAAGAACAATTTTATACCAACACGAGACTCAAAATTGGTCAAAAGTTAAGAACAAATTAAGAACAAGGTGAGGCTGAGCTACTATCAAATGCAATTTTGAGGAAAGCTTTCTCTCAAAAACGAGGATTTTCAGCCATGTGTTGGTACTTTTTCCGTGAATAGTCAAACATTTCGCCATATGTTGAAACGCACTACCGCGTCTTCTTTGTTACTTGTATCAAAAAACTTTCGTAAATGTCTTCATTTCTCTTTGGTCCTCAATTTTGTACCTAAAACTTTGTTATTTGCATATCATTATTCAAGAAATCATGTAATAGCATAAGTTGTTGAATAAGTCCCCACATTCGAATAATCCCTCCTCTTGAGTAAAGTCCCCAGCCAAAGGTTTATTGATCGTCGTGAAATTTCAAAACAAGGTATCAGGATATTTTCTTGTTCAACTCTTTTACTTTTTTGCAGCATAGCCTGTCCTAGCCTTAAAATTAATTTTCATGACATTAGAAATAAAAAAATTGCAGGACTATTTATCTCAGTCACAAGGCCTTCCAAAATCAGGCAAAATTTGCGACAGCTTTGGTGAGAAGATATGGGGCTGGCTTGATTGTCAATGGGTCTCTGGCAAAAGGGGACCTTTCCGTTTGGAAAGGGGTCCTTATAATTTTGAAAACAGAATATGTAAGCGAAAATTCTGCCAGAAATTACAATTTGGCAAAGCACATAAGTTACATGAAAACAACTATTGGTTTCTTTCACCAGAGGTTTGTACATTCTTACGACACATAGCTTACAACGTAATCTGGGACGGATTTACGGGGAATGTGTTTGTGCTATTGGTTAAATTTTGTTTTTAATTCGGTAAAAAGCTTTTTTGGTAGTCAATAGTAACGAAATAATGCCAATTTTGTTTAACTAGTAACCGTTGGAAATTTTTGTTTGAAATGCGAAGAGGTAAAGACATTTTAGTTTGAAAGTGAAATTTAAAATGGGTGTTTCCATCATTTTTGAGGCACCTGAAGGGCGTGGCACGAAAAGCCAATCATTATTCAACACCCTCCCCTCCCCAATCCTTGCATCTAAAATCTACCCATGGATGTGATAGAAAATTACATGCTATGTTTTCAAAGCAATGTATAATTTACATAAAGCATACAAAAACTACATCGATACAAACTATAATTGATCAAAGTAACAACAACTTTCTATGTTAAAACATATTTGAAGTTTGTTGAACAAGACAATATTTTTTGTGCATAGTATCAAAATCATGCAATATAGCAGTTTCATTATTGATTTCTCAGGTGCAAATCTCAAATGGAAAACTTTTGGATGAAAACGAAATGCTGTATATGGTCATGCTCGAAATCCTGATGTAGAGCTGCTGTGTCAACGAAGAAAATGCACTAAAGTTAATAAAAAGTGAGCTATATTTCTCAATTTTTCAGAATATTCATTGCAAAAAAGATAGCTTTCTTATATCCATTAAACAAATGTATTTTAAAAAACAAACAAGTTTAGAACACATTGAAGCTTTTCATCTAAAACTTCTCCGAGCAATGACCATTTGCAAAGCAAAACACGAGTACACTACTGAAAAGGTTACAAAATCTCTTGCAAATCTTAAAAATTGACGTAGATTTCATGATTGATATCAGTGGACTATGCACCAATATTGGTAGTGTACTGTGAATAATTTTGATTTTAAGATGTTTAAAAACGCTCTAACGTAACTAAACTTTTACTTAACAATGTCTTGCCTACTTATGAAAATGTCCAGAGAAAGTTTATCTTTAAATACTTTTTTCATTTCAGTATCTTCAATCTAACAAGTTACTTCAAGTGCAATCGCCCAGCAGTTTCATTAGCCATAGCATTCACGTTGGCAAGGCTTTTTAGACGTTCAAGAAGTAGTATTGAGCGTATGCAAAATGTTATAATTACTATTATCCTTTCCATTTCTTTTTTTGTCTGATGGCTAATACAAGTACAAGTGTAATCAGAACGGATGTCATGCTACTATTTTAGCTGCTTCAAACTTCCTACTCTGTCACGAAAAGAAGGAAAAAATTAGTAACTACTTGTTGCTTCAGCCTAGCCCATCTACTTCTGCAAGTCTACAGAATTCTCAAAAACATGTTAGAAAGCATATAGGAAAGCTTACAAATATGCATAAAATTAGATTATTTTACTATAATAAATGTATGGTGCAGTTGAGAAAACTGCCATGTATTGCTGCTGCTGGCTGATTTGCTGCTGGCTGGTGGCAACCAGTGTACAGCTGGAATCACGTCGTAAGTCCAAATTATTTGTTAGAGTCCGACAAGCTCCTTCCCCCCTCCCATTCTAGCGTACAGCTGGTAGAAAAAATAGATTGCAAACATTGATATGCATATCAACACACCACATTATAAACATTGATACATTTTCCTTTCCATTCTCTAGCATAACAGCTGGATACATAATACACTAAGATTATAACTACTAACAGTAACATTGTGAATCTTTGATTACTTACAATAACTAGGAGTGATACAAAACATTTTGATGTGTTTACCAACTATAGTTCAATTGCTTTCTATAACTAATACAAATTCTAGTTCATTTTCCTTATATCATATCATTCTGTAGAAAATTGTTTCTTATCCTTTTCTACCTTTGGTTTTTTTATATTCTGATATGCAAAAACTTTTTCATTTCTGATTTGCTTATTTTTCATACTCAAAGGCATCATGCTGGTAGTCTCACGGCACAGCAATATGGTTCTATCGCTGAATGATGTCGCAAATGCCAAGTGTTTGACAGAACACCGTTTGCAAGTCCACGAAGGGCTGCAGCAGGGGTCGCTGATATAGGAAGAGTCGAAGAGGTATACTTTCTAAATTTACGTGTCATTTAGGTTTTACTAACGTACTATTTACTTACTATACATCTGCTAACAATTCACATTTCTTCGGATTCATATCGGCTGTGAGAAGATTCACTTCATCCGTTGGGTTTGCAGAAGAGAGTGCATAATACCTTTTATATGTGAACCTCCTATAAAATTTGATAGTGGCAGCAATGTTTATTCTAATTTGGTTTCATCAATTAAATGTAGGTTGAAAGGTAGAAAAATTTGTGTTGAGTTCAAAAGAGACTTGCTTGATGAAGATGAAATTTACAGGAATGATCTGTGCACAATATCCAGTAGGTCCTTGATTTTATTTTAGACTGTTCCATGTAGGTATGATCTGCGTTCGCAACTCGCAACGAACCGAGTTGGCAAATAAAGAAGAGGAGCGTAGTTCAGACATTAGCACAAACTCACCCTCAGAAGAATCCTCTGTGTTTAAAATTCTGGAGAACAAATCTGCTGAAAATCTGAAAAGTAGCCCTCCAATGGCCCTGCTTAGCAAAGAAGAGAAGATTTCAAGACAGTCCATCAGTCAGCCAAAAGGTTTCAAAATTCTCGACCAGGTATTAGTTAGTGATTGTATCAGTCAAGTAGCTTTTCGCAGTTCATGCAAGAACCCGGATAGCCAACTTGTCCTTCTTCAAATTAATACAAATAAACAAGGATTAGCTGAGGTTTTATATCTAAAATGCAGCTTATGTCAAACTTCAACAGAACTAAAAACATCCCAAATAGCTAAAGAGAGTTCAGTGTCTTAGGTGAACTTCAGATCTGTTTATGCTGCACAGAGATTTGGTTTTGCAGCTGTTGAAGAGTTTTGCACTATAATGAACTTACCCAAACCAGTTTCAAAGAAATCCTACAATAATATTAGCAAGATGTTAAACAAGCAGCGCAAGAAACAAGCAGTAAGAAACATGAAAGATGCTGCAAGCCGTCTGATTGATTTAACCAGGGAAAACAATCCTGAGGATGTTGAGGTCGCTGAATCTGGAGCTGTGATCTGTAATGTTGCTGTCACTGTTGATGGTACATGGTAGAAGAGAGGTCGCAGTTCCAAGATTGGTGTCATATTTGTACTCTCTGTAGAGACAGGTGAAGTATTGGACTATGAAGTGAAAAGCCTTTATTGTCATGAATGTGTCACAAACAAAATAAAAGAGAAAAATGTGAGAAATGGCGCACACAAAACCAAAATGAATCTGTATATGGTTTGTTGTGGTCAAAATGCCCCAAAGCAAACTTTTTTGGAGGAAGAAGAGTAGAGACAGCAGTTTCTGAAACCATCTGCCATGTCAATAGTGGAGCTGCCACCAAGGCTGCTGTGGTCGAGGAATGTGGTTTTGAACATGGTAAAAATATGTTGTCTGGCTTCAGAAAGACTGACAAAGAAAGAATAAGAAGTGCAGAAACAAAGGTATCTGAAAAGTACCGCCTTCATAGTAGAAAGTGCAGAACTGACAAAAATTCTAAAGGGGAATCCAACAGCAGTTCTGCCACTTACCAGGCTGGTGCATTTGGGCTTTCTTCTACTCCAGAAACAGGGTTTGAAAAACTACAAAATAAGGTAACAAATAATAAGATAAAAGAAGGGAAAAGAAAAAAGAAGGCCTGTTAAAGAAACAAGCCAAATCCTTCCACAGTTCCTGCTCATGAAGCTATTTCTGTTGATGAAATTTAAGTGACAGTCTTTTACTGAATATTAATCCTTTATGGTCATAATATGGCATCTGATAATTTATTTATAAATTTTTGATTAATCCTAACTTCTCCAGTCTGCTAGTCCATCAAACTTGTATTATTGTACCATCACTAAACTAACTAGCTAACTTCTCCAGTCTGCTAGTCCATCAAACTTGTATTATTGTACCAAGTTATACACGGTGTCACATAGTGTACTGGTGTCACTATCTTGCAAAGATGTATCCCATCTTTGTTACAAAAAAGCCTTTTTGAGTAGCTCATTACTGATGCAAAAAGTTTTTGCATCAGTAAAATAAATTGATGGCATTACAGGAACAGGTTAAATGGCATCTGGCTATTATGAAAAGATCCTTCCCTCATTTTCTTATAATCATACGCTATAAAATTTTCAAAGTTGATTTTATGAAAACTACATTTTTCATGCCAATGAAACTTGTCCTGAAGATAATTGCTGACAGGAAGATGATAGAAGGCTATTTTTTTGTACAGTTGTCTTTTCTGTACATTCTATACACTGAATAAAACATTTTTTAAAACTGTTTTCATTCAGGGGGTAAGACATTTAAGAATTACGTTTTTGTGTGTGACCCCCCAGAAAATTGAACTTTTTCAAAATTAATTCATTTAGTGTATAGAGCATATAAAATAGTATACAATTGCTGAAAATCAACTCCCCATTGCTTTTAGTTTTAAGTATATTTGTTGGAAACAAAACGGACTGACCTTTTTCATGACATTACCGTTACCCCCGTGTTAATTATGGTCTTTTTCCAACTTTTCTATTGTATCTTGATAAGCAAAGACTAACTACTATTTGTGTATCTTTTCATGAGATTTGGTACAGTATGTTCTTTACTTGTGACAAAAAAGTAAAATATGGATATTTCAGAGCTACAGGGTATACTGCTACCTTAACAGTGCTACACCTTGTATCACAAACTCAATTAAACGTAAAAGTCGCAGGAATGAGATGTTTATACCTTTGTTGACACGCTAATCCCTCTTCTTTTTCGAATCACTGTTTTATTATAGCTCAGGAAAAATATTTTCCAAATATTGTGTTTGAAAAAATTGTTTTAATTCTTCTTAAATGCAAATGAGAAAGTGCTCTCTTTCTATCAACTACCTTTTGAGTTATGTGGCATCTGATTTGTTTTCCTTTTCCAAATTAGGGATTTCTTTTGGCATGGGCAGTCCATTTTGAGAACAGATGGTGACAGCTGGAAGAGCATAGTTCCTTCCATAAGACAGTTTCCTTTGGAGTGCCTTCCACGAAAGCAACAGAGATGGTGCGACGGAATGGAACTTGTCTTATTTATAGAGGCCCTTGTAAGTATAGGTCACATTTGGAAAATTGATGCTAGTACATTTAAAAACTGTAACTTAGAATGGAGTTCTTTGAGGATTTCTCTGCCACTAGATTGATAATAATATTAAAAACAATTTGCTTCTTAATTCTAGTATCTACAAAGCATGGACCAGAAAAGGGAACTAAAGGACAGTTTGTCCGAAGTAATTGAGACGCAAACCAAGTCCTTTTTAGACAAGAAGCCGCTTATTGATAGGCTGGAGAAAAATATGGCAAACAAAATCAAATTAAACGATGCCCATGTGAGTTGAGAAATTCACTATTTCTACAATATGGTTTCAAGGTTTCCTGTATCAATTCATCTATGGCCAGAACATAAAGATATATTCGTCCTTTGGTTTAAATAATAAATACCATTGGCTTTTTTGTGAGATATCTTTCGTATATTCATTATCATTTATTCTAATCAAGCTTTGCATTTAGTACAGGCAGGTTCATTTTATTGTTAAGATATGGTTATCTGTTGTGACATCCGTATGTGGAAAAATTCTCGAGAAAGCCATTGAGTTGCTATAAAAAGATTCATAGGAGTTTGAAAAGGAATCATCGATTTCAGATCACTAAATATTTAATTAAAGATTTTGACATGGATAAACTTGCGAACATTGGTAAAGGTAAAAAGCAGTGGCATGTTCATTCCAGCGATTGGCGTTAGAGGAGCTGTTAATTCTAACGAGTTCATTGATATTATAAAAAAGAGAGGTAGGCCATACAATTAGTGCTATAAAATTTTCTCAATAACTATTTCAGGAAGAACCTGCACAGCCAGCCTACATTTTATGAAAATAGATAGTTTGATTCCACTTTAATATTTCAAAACGTTTCAAATCATACTTATATACTTACAGCAAACATACAGCTAAATGCTTTATCCCTTACTAGCGATAATGATTGCAACACAACTTGGTTTTGACACCATAAATCACTCAGGCTAAAAATGAATTTTTAACACTTATTCACAGGACTTGCTTCACTAGTCCAGAAGCATAATGGAAAATGCCTACTCGAGGCCGATTTATTTTGGAAAGGCCGGCTCTTCATGCACCAGAAAGCCGCTGAAAGTCAGGGACCCAGAGCTGACCATTTGTGCTAAAGGTAGGCAAGAATTTGAGATATAAAAGCAAAAAATTGAGATAAAAATAAACAGTTTTCCTTAACTCTCTTCTTTGACAGTTTCTAAGAAATCTAGAAGAAATATAGCATCTTTTAGAAATTTGCAAACTACTACAAAAACAAATTGCAATAAAAGTCAGCTGAAACAATTCTATTTTCATGCAGGACACAAAATACCGAAAAATATGTTTTCGTCCACCCTTCAGGAGTGGCTCGACTATGGTACGTTTTTTCATTCATAAGATTATATGTAGCATTGGCACCAATAACTATTATTAATTATTCTTTACCATATTTTGATATAAACATGTATCAGGCACTGCCTATCCTGAATGCCTTAAATGAAATGCCAAGATACGCTGTGCCACAAGAGGCTTTGTTAGTCTATACGGTTAGATTTCTTTAATTTTCAGCCATACCTGTCTCTCGACCCTTAAATCTCTAAATCCAATTCACTTATTATGTAAATTTTCATGTATAAGGGGGGGGGGGTGTCGAATAATAAACCTTGACCGCAATGGCAAAAAATGCTAGAAACAAAAGGCAGCTAATAGCTCTAATAGTAGGTTGATTTTTTTTTTTAATTTTTTTCACGGTTGATTGATTTTCTTTATTTTTTTTATCTTTTCCATAATTCATTGATTTTATTTTTTTTTTATTTTTATCATGGTTGATTTTTTTTTAATTGTTTTCATGGTTGATTGATTTTCTTTATTTTTTTAATTTTTTTCATTAATGATTGATTTTCTTAAATTTTTAATTTTTTTTATTGTTGATTGATTTTCTTTATTTTTTTAATTTTTTTAATGGTTGATTGATTTTCTTTATTTTTCTTAATTTTTTTCATTGTTGATTGATTTATCTTTATTTTTTTTAATTTTTTTCATGGTTGATTGATTTTCTTTATTTTTTTTTTTTTTATCATGGTTGATTTTTTTTTTAATTGTTTTCATGGTTGATTGATTTTCTTTATTTTTTTAATTTTTTTCATTAATGATTGATTTTCTTAAATTTTCAATTTTTTTCATGGTTGATTGATTTTCTTTATTTTTTTAGGTTTTTTCATGGTTGATTGATTCTTTTTATTTTTCTTAATTTTTTTCATTGTTGATTGATTTATCTTCATTTTTTTAATTTCTTTCATGGTTGATTGATTTTCTTTATTTTTTTTAATTTTTTCATGAATGATTAATTTTCTTTATTCTTTTAATTTTTTTCATGGTTGATTGATTTTTTTTATTTTTTTTAATTTTTTTCAAGGTTGATTTTATTTTCTTTATTTTTTTTAGTTTTTTCATGGTTGATTGATTTTCTTTTTTTTTAAATTTTTTTCACGGTTGATTGATTTTCTTTATTTTTTTTAAATTTTTTCATGAATGATTGATTTTCTTTATTCTTTTAATTTTTTTTCATGGTTGATTGATTTTTTTATTTTTTTTTTAATTTTTTTCAAGGTTGATTTTATTTTCTTTATTATTTTAATTTTTTTTCACGGTTGATTGATTTTCTTTATTTTTTTAATTTTTTTCATGGTTGATTGATTTTCTTTATTTGTTTTATTTTTTTTCATGGCTGATTGATTTTCTTAATTTATTTTCAATTTTTACATGATTGATTGATTTTCTTTATTTTTTTAATTTTTTTTTGGCTGATTTGATTTTCTTTATTTTTTAGTTTTTTTCATGATTGAATGATTTTCTTTATTTTTGTAAATTTTTTTCATGGTTGATCCATTTTCTGTATTTTTTTTAAATTACTTTCATGATTGATTGATTTTCTTTATTTTTTTAATTTTTTTCATGGTTGATTGATTTTCTTTATTTTTTCAAGTTTTTTCATGAATGATTGATTTTCTTCATTCTTTTATTTTTTTTATTGTTGATTGATTTTATTTTTTTTTTATTTTTTTCATGGTTGATTGATTTTCCTTTTTTTTATTTCTTTCATGGTTGATTGATTTTTTTTTAATTTTCCATGGTTGATTAATTTTTTTCATGGTTGATTGATTTTTTTTTAATTTTCCATGGTTGATTAATTTTTTTCATGGTTGATTGAATTCTTTTCATGGTTGATTGATTTTTTTTCATGGTTGATTGACTTTTTTTTTCATGGTTGAATGATTTTTAATTTTTTTTCATTGTTGATTGATTTTTTTGAATCTTTTTAAATAGTTTATGGTTGATTGAATTTGTTCATGTTTTTCATGGTTGATTGTTTTTTTTTAATTTTTTTTCATGGTTGATTGACTTTTTTTCATGGTTGATTGATTTTTTAATTTTTTTTTCATTGTTGATTGATTTTTTTCAATCTTTTTAAATTGTTCATGGTTGATTGAATTTTTTCATGTTTTTTATCGTTGATTGTTTTTTTTAATTTTTTTTCATGGTTGATTGATTTTTTGTCATGGTTGATTGATTTTTTTTATTTTTTTTTTTCATGGTTGATTGGTTTTATTAATCTACTTCACTTTTTTCATGGTTAATTGTTTTTTTCATGGTTGTATGATTTTTTTCATGGTTGATTGTTTCTAATTATTTTTATTAATTTTTTCATGGTTGATTTTTTTTTAATTTTTTATGGTTGATTGGTTTTATTTATTTTTTACTTTTTTCATCGTTGATTGGTTTTATTTCTTTTTTTTTCTTTTCATTTTTTATATTTTTCATGGTTTCCGAAGTTTCAGGATTGTTTCCGACTTTTTACGATTTTTCGGGATTTTTCTGGATTTTTTGGATTTTTATGGGGATTCCGATTTTTAAAGATTTTTTCAAATTTCTTCAAGTTTTTCTGGTTTTTTTAGAGTTTTTGATGTTTTTCAAGATACTTTCCGATTACTTTAAATTTTTAAGGATTTTCAGGCATTTTTTGGGATTTTTCTCAATATTTTACCAAATTTTCGGAAATTTTTCAGATTTTATTTCGTTTTTTGCGGATTTTTTTTTCAATTTTTTCCGATTTTTCGGGATTTTTTTGGATTCTATTCTGATTTCTCCAAATTTTTTTTGGTTTTCTGATTTTTCCGGACATTTTCCGATTTTTTATAGCTTTTCAGGACTTTGAAGAATTTTTGCTATTTTTGAAGATTTTTCGGGATTTTGAGAGATTTTTGATATTTTTCATTATTTTTCAGCATTCGGGATTAAATGGAGCTTTACCAATTTTTTCCGATATTTCCTAATTTTGGGGGATTTTTACAATTTTTCCGATTTGTCGGGATCATTTCCGATTTTTTTTCGATGTTTCAGGATTTTTCTGAATATTTTTGAATTTTTTTTGAATTTTCCGATTTCTTTAGATTATTTCCAATTTTTTTCTGATTTTTCGCAATTTTTCGGAATTCTTCGAGATTTCTCGTGATTTTTTTAAGATGTTCCAGATCTTTTGGATTTTTGGAGATTTTTCGAGATTTTTGGATCCCGCATAAGTTTTTTGCATTTTCAAAATTCTTTGCGTTTTTACAAGATTTTTCGAGATTTTTAGAGATTTTTAGCGATTTTTAGAAATTTTTAAAGATTTTTAGAGATTTTTAGAGATTTTTAGAGATTTTTAGAGATTTTTAGAGATTTTTAGAGATTTTTCCTGATATTTTCCAATTTTTCCATATTTTTTCCGATTTTTTCCAGTTTTTCAAGATATTGAAAATTTTTTTGATATTTTTCATAATTTTTCGAAATTTTGAAAGATTTTTAATATTTTACAGTATTTTTCGGGATTTAAGGGATTTTTTCTGATTTTTTTTAGTGAAGTTGGCTTGCTAAAAAGACGTTCTCATGGCTCTAATCAATATGAAAATGTGTCAATGCACAGCATTGTCTGGAAGATTTGTCCAAAAAATATTTTTTGTGGGAAAAAGACTATAGAAACTAGAGTTGCATTTGCATTATCTCAGTTTTCAATGGGTGCATTGTATAAAAACATGATTTTTCAAGTTATGAGAGTAGAACCTTGAAAATATTTAGATTAAAAAAGAATAAGAAAAGCTGAGAGGGCTATGACCACCACTGCAAAGAAGAGGAAAAAACACTTGAAACTTAAGAAATCATAATCTAGTAAGGACGCGAGGAAGCGAGAAGGAAAAATATATGAGAGTGAAGGTTGGTGTTTAATCTGATTAATTTTGTAGACATGAACTGTTTTGAAAGTAAATGTATCATTTATATAATTGATATAATAATGATTGCTTTATAAATAACTATTTTCTATGTTAAAACTGCTTGAAAATGTAAGTTCTCTAAACGTATTTTGCTTCCAAAACTTTAACTGCGAATTATTCAAGTATGATTTTGAGCCCACTGACCAAACTAAGTTACCAAGTTTTATAATGAATGTTAATTCTAATTTCTGTAACCTATAAATCAAAATGATCCTTAAATCATGGAAAGTGCAATAAAGATGCTTGATTTGAGGTTGGCATACAGGGATTTTTTCCTTAGGCAACGATCTAAAATACATTCCAAGGCTGGATTATCCCATTTTTGTAATTTACATCAATTTTTACAATAAGTTTAAAAAGGGTGGAAAAATATGGCTTAGTTGCAATCTACAGCTCTTAACAAACATTTTGATATAAAGGACAATACTTTTTGATGATGCTGTTAGAAAATCAATGAACACCTAACTTTTGGATTTTCAGAAAGAATACTTTACTTCATACGGTTTAGATTTTACAAAAATCAATGAAACTAAGGAGCTAGAAAAAGTCAAAATTATCAATTAGAAAGTCAGCCACACCAGAAAAACAAGTTTTGGGACATTTAAAACAAAATTTGGGACATTTAAAAACAAGTTTTGGGACATTTAAAAACACTTTTGAGTTCTCCAATGCCGCTAAAAATTTGAAATTACAAAGTTTTTAAGGGAATTTTTTAAGCTGCAAATAGAAAACTAACATTTCAAATGTAAATAAAACATGAACCAAATATTTTGTTGACAATTGCTGACCATATTTGAACTCGCTGTACCTTCAAGAATAATCTGTTAAATTTTCGTCTCAGTATCTTGCATTGTTTCAGAGAAAAGTGCATTCATACAGAGATAAATCAAGATTTTTTGTTTCATATACAAAATCAGAAATCTAAGGGTTTACTTTGTACGGTTGAGATTTTACAAAAAACTATGAGTCTAAGAATCTAGAAAAAGTCAGAATTATCAATTAGAAAGTCAACCACACCAGAAAAACAAGATTTTGGGACATTTAAGAACACTTTTGAGTTCTCTGATGCCGCTGAAAGTTTGAATTTACAAAGTTTTTAAGGAAATTTTTTAATCTGCAAATTAAAAACTAACATTTCAATTGTGAATAAAACATGAACCAAATATTTTGTTGACAATTGCTGACCATATTTGAACTCGCCGTATCTTCAAGAATAATCTGTTAAATTTTCGTTTCAGTATTTTGCATAGTTTTAGAGAAAATTGCATTCATACAAAGATAAATCAAGATTTTTTGTTTCATTAACAAAATTAGAAATCTAAGGGTTTACTTTGTACTGTTGAGATTTTACAAAAAACTATGAGACTAAGAATCTAAAAAAGTCAAAATTATCAATAATAAAGTCAACCACAATAGCAAAACAAGTTTTTGGGACATTTAAAAACATTTTTGAGTTCTCTAGTGCCGCTGAAAGTTTGAAATTACGAAGTTTTTGAGGAAATTGTTTAAGCTGCAAATTGAAAACTAACATTTTAATTGTGAATAAAACATGAAGCAAATATTTTTTGACTATTGCTGACCATATTTGAACTTCGTACCTTCGATAATAATCTGTTAAATTTTCGTTTCAGTATTTTGCAAAGTTTTAGAGAAAATTGCATTGATACAAAGATAAATCAAGATTTTTTGTTTCATATACAAAATCAGAAATCTAAGGGTTTACTTTGTACGGTTGAGATTTTACAAAAAACTATGAAACTAAGAATCTGAAAAAGTCAAAATTATCAATTAGAAAGTCAACCACACCAGAAAAACAAGCTTTTGGGACATTTAAGAACACTTTTGAGTTCTCTGATGCCGCTGAAAGTTTGAATTTACAAAGTTTTTAAGGAAATTTTTTAAGCTGCAAATTCAAAACTAACATTTCAATTGTGAATGAAACATGAAGTAAATATTTTGTTGACAATTGCTGACCATATTTGAACTTATCGTACCTTCAAGAATAATCTGTTAAATTTTCGTGTCAGTATTTTGCAAAGTTTTAGAGAAAATTGCATTGATACAAAGATAGATCAAGATTTTTTGTTTCATATACAAAATCAGAAATCTAAGGATTTACTTTGTACGGTTGAGATTTTACAAAAAACTATGAGACTAAGAATCTAGAAAAAGTCAGAATTATCAATTAGAAAGTCAACCACAATAGCAAAACAAGTTTTTGGGACATTTAAAAACATTTTTGAGTTCTTTAATTTCGCTGAAAGTTTGAAATTACAAAGTTTTTAAGGAAATTTTTTAAGCTGGAAATTGAAAACTAACATTTCAATTGTAAATAGAACATGAACCAAAAAATTTTTTGACTATTGCTGACCATAATTTCACTTGCCGTACCTTCGATAATAATCTGTTAAATTTTCGTTTCAGTATTTTGCATAGTTTTAGAGAAAATTGCATTCATACAAAGATAAATCAAGATTTTTTGTTTCATTAACAAAATTAGAAATCTAAGGGTTTACTTTGTACTGTTGAGATTTTACAAAAAACTATGAGACTAAGAAACTATAAAAAGTCAAAATTATCAATAATAAAGTCAACGACACCAGAAAAAGCAAGCTCTTGGGACATTTAAAAACATTTTTGAGTTCTCTAGTGCCGCTGAAAGTTTGAATTTACGAAGTTTTTGAGGAAATTGTTTAAGCTGCAAATTAAAAACTAACATTTTAATTGTGAATAAAACATGAAGCAAATATTTTGTTGACAATTGCTGACCATATTTGAACTCATCGTACCTTCGATAATAATCTGTTAAATTTTCGTTTCAGTATTTTGCAAAGTTTTAGAGAAAATTGCATTGATACAAAGATAAATCAAGATTTTTTGTTTCATATACAAAATCAGAAATCTAAGGGTTTACTTTGTACGGTTGAGATTTTACAAAAAACTATGAGACTAAGAATCTAAAAAAGTCAAAATTATCAATTAAAAAGTCAACCACAATAGATAAACAAGGTTTTGGGACAGTTAAGAACACTTTTGAGTTCTCTGATGCCGCTGAAAGTTTGAATTTACAAAGTTTTTAAGGAAATTTTTTAAGCTGCAAATTCAAAACTAACATTTCAATTGTGAATAAAACATGAACCAAATATTTTGTTGACAATTGCTGACCATATTTGAACTCGCTGTACCTTCAAGAATAATCTGTTAAATTTTCGTCTCAGTATCTTGCATTGTTTCAGAGAAAAGTGCATTCATACAGAGATAAATCAAGATTTTTTGTTTCATATACAAAATCAAAAATCTAAGGGTTTACTTCATACGGTTTAAATTTTACAAAAAACAATGAAACTAAGGAGCGAGAAAAAGTGAAAATTATCAATTAGAAAGTCAGCCACAGCAGAAAAACAAGTTTTGGAACATTTAAAAACAAGTTTTGGGACATTTAAAAACACTTTTGAGTTCTCCAATGCCGCTAAAAATTTGAAATTACAAAGTTTTTAAGGGAATTTTTTAAGATGCAAATAGAAAACTAACATTTAAATTGTGAATAAATTATAAACGAAATATTTTGTTGATAATTGCTGACCATATTTGAACTAGCCGAACCTTCAAGAATAATCAGTTAAATTTTCGTTTCAGTATTTTGCATAGTTTTAGAGAAAATGCATTCATACAAAGATAAATTGAGATTTTTTTTTTCATATACAAAATCAGAAATCTAAGGGTTTTACTTTGTACGGTTGAGATTTTACAAAAAACTATGAAACTAAGAATCTAAAAAAGTCAAAATTATCAATTAGAAAGTCAACCACACCAGAAAAACAAGTTTTTGGGACATTTAAGAACACTTTTGAGTTCTCTGATGCCGCTGAAAGTTTGAATTTACAAAGTTTTTAAGGAAATTTTTTAAGCTGC